TCAAATCGTTCAGCATTGAAATTTATTATGATTTAATTCAATTGTTGATAAAAATATTCGATTTTTTGATTTGCTCTTTAAGTGAACTTCCAATATTATTGGCATTGCTGGAAGAATTATATTGAAAATTTACTTGGGTCGAAATTTACTTTCAAGGTTTATTCAGCAAAGTTATTTAAAATAATCCATAGATTCTAAAAATACCCCAAGGGCCAAAATGAATATATATTAAAGTATATATAATAATTATATTTTTCTTATAAATTTGACTCGCCGCTCTCATATATATTAAACAACATATGAAAAGCAATATTTTCTAATATAGCATGAATGATAATTTTATTTTTCTGGACTATTTGAAACAATTATCAATTTACCAAATCAAATTTACTTATTTTTAAACTCGCATATGACTACATGATTAGCTTATTTTGTTTATTATGAGAAGTTCATGAATAGAAAACAATAGCATCGATAAAATTAAAAATACAACAGGTAATTTTTGAATTGATTATATTAACCAATCGAAAAGGTCGAGTAAAAGGTCAAACAGAATGTGTGGACACCTGCTTTAAATACTTTGTAGACTTTTGGAAAAAATATAATTCCTATACATATAAAAGAAGTTAAAAACTTTTTTAGAGTAGCCATTATTATTTACTTTCTTTCTTATAAAAATATTTAACATTGTTCATGCCTTAATTTTTACAACAGCTTTTATTTCCGCCGATTATGAAATGTTTCAATTTAATTTATTTTAACAATCAGAATCAAATAAGATTCGAAGTGCTACATAGATAAGTTGTAACAAAGAAATTATAGTAATAATTAAAATGAATAAGAAAATAAAAAAGATATAAAAAATAGATAAAAAAATAAATTTTATAAAAAATGATAGCAATGAAAACGATTATATAAAGTATAATTTAAATAATATAGACACTGTTAAACTGATTCAGTAAAAATTCACTGCATTATGGGTAATCTAGTTGAAGGTTTTTGTTCAATCTTTATATATACCTACATATAAAGGGTATTTAAATATAGGTATACTTTTAAATTTATGTATATATATATATATATATATAATATATATGCACAATTAATCTTACTTGAATAAGATTTTTATAGCGCACACATCCAATGCAAACACACATGCAATGCAAAGGAGTTAAGATTTATGTGGCGCCAATGGCATTGCTGGAAGAATTATATTGAAATTTAACACTGGTCGAAATTTACTTTCAAGGTTTATCAGCAAAGTTATTTAAAATAATCCCTAGATTCTAAAATACCCCAAGGGCCAAAATGAATATATATTAAAGTATATATAATAATTATATTTTTCTTATAAATTTGACTCGCCGCTCTCATATATATTAAACAACATATGAAAAGCAATATTTTCTAATATAGCATGAATGATAATTTTATTTTTCTGGACTATTTGAAACAATTATCAATTTACCAAATCAAATTTACTTATTTTTAAACTCGCATATGACTACATGATTAGCTTATTTTGTTTATTATGAGAAGTTCATGAATAGAAAACAATAGCATCGATAAAATTAAAAATACAACAGGTAATTTTTGAATTGATTATATTAACCAATCGAAAAGGTCGAGTAAAAGGTCAAACAGAATGTGTGGACACCTGCTTTAAATACTTTGTAGACTTTTGGAAAAAATATAAATTCCTATACATATAAAAGAAGTTAAAAACTTTTTAGAGTAGCCATTATTATTTACTTTCTTTCTTATAAAAATATTTAACATTGTTCATGCCTTAATTTTTTACAACAGCTTTTATTTCCGCCGATTATGAAATGTTTCAATTTAATTTATTTTTAACAATCAGAATCAAATAAGATTCGAAGTGCTACATAGATAAGTTGTAACAAAGAAATTATAGTAATAATTAAAATGAATAAGAAAAATAAAAAAGATAAAAAATAGATAAATAAAAATAAATTTTATAAATAAAAATGATAGCAATGAAAACGATTATATAAAGTATAATTTAAATAATATAGACACTGTTAAACTGATTCAGTAAAAAATTCACTGCATTATGGGTAATCTAGTTGAAGGTTTTTGTTCAATCTTTTATATATACCTACATATAAATGGGTATTTAAATATAGGTATACTTTTAAATTTATGTATATATATATATAATATATATATATATATATATATGCACAATTAATCTTACTTGAATAAGATTTTTTATAGCGCACACATCCTTAAATGCAATGCAAAGGAAGTTAAGATTTATGTGGCGCCAAGGAAACATAAAAATAGCACAAATCGCAATTTAAAACCAAATAAAAATGGCAAGTTTAAAACTAACATTTAAAATTCTTATATATTATTTAGTTTAATTAAAATTAGTTGTCATATTCCATATATCCTTCCACATTCTGTATAACTTTCTTAATTAATGTACGAATAAAACTTTATTTAATATATTTATGTTTTTGTATTATATATTTATATACATCTTCGTCATGTTTTTTATAATATTTATATTTATATTAAGATTTCTCATTACATTTTATTATCTTATAACTATATATAATATATATTTATCACATATATTCTTGAATACACACATCGCACAAACTTAATGAATATATTTACAAGATACACATATTCAGATTCATAAATAATTTTTACTACATGGCAAGATCAAGTTATTTTTTACTAGTACGGTGGATTTTAATACAAATCATAAGATTTTAATAAATAAATACATTATATTCTGTATACATTCGACTGAATATAAATAGCAGTAAGTTATTAGAAATATTATGTCGCACTTTCGATCAAATGTGAAAATATAAACTAATATTGTTATTGCATTATTCTTGAGAATTCATCAGTAAACGAAATGAATTTTTCTCACTATATATATTAATAATTTATGCAATTTGAACGTGAGTGCAACATAAAATATTCAAATAATGAATAAATAATTATAACAATATTTTTCATTTTAGAATTTTAATACAAATTGGACAAGTTAGATAAAATTCAATTATGTATTGCATTCTTTCCTGTAAATTTACAAACGCTATATTTAATTCAAACCTAAATAACTGTTAGTATCTTGAAGATAACAAGTCATATTTTCTTATCTCAATGAAAAAAAACTTTTTTTAAATTATAATTACCATATCAGCCAATAATGTTTACAGAAGAAAAATAACATCTTGCGCAGTGATAACTACATACTTTGAATTCAACAGTCTGCAACAGATTGATAACAAATGTTCCTATTTATATATAATTAATAAAAAAACGGTCGTAAGTTATAACGATTTGAATATTCCGATAACTTAATACAAATAAATTGTACAATGTAGGCAATTAATTATTGATGAAATAATATTATGAAATGTAACCATGATATATTGGAAACGATTATTTCAACATTTTTGATTGATCTAATTTAATATTTATGGCTTATTTCAAACAGTATAAATAATTTTGAGACTAACATCAATCTTTATAATATTACAATAGGTAGACTATTCACACAATAATATGCAAATTTGAATTTTTAAACTAAATTGTATTTTATTCCATTTTTCGGAAGTGTAGTTCAATACTATTGACATGCGAAATAATTTGAATACTTTACTTATATATAATATTTAATTTTAATATTGCACCTTTAAAAAGTTTTACTTGTAACGGCAAGAGGAATTCTGATGAGCTCTTCATAAAGTATACAACATAAAATATCTTCTATATTTATATATACATATGAGGATTGGTCAGATTGACGGCAACAAGATATTTAAAAAAAATTAACATTAGTTTTATAAAAATCCACTTTGCCGAAGAACTCATGCTCGGACTTGAATTAGACTAACAACTCTACATAGACTCTATTAGAAGTTTCATCAAATTTCTATATTAATGAACATGAGATTCTTGTAAGTTAATATTTAGATTTTGACTTTTTCGACTCTTTCATGAACAGCTCATTTTAATTCCCATTACAAATTTGAGTGTCAACGTAAATTGCACGACTGCTGCGATATGAATCAATTGTCCATTCTACTAGATGCAAAATTAGAGCAACTTGTTTAGTTAATTTATAGATTCATTGAGAAATATATAATATATGAGCAAGTCCATAAATTATTAATATATGACGTATAACATGTATGTCGATTTTGTTGTTATTCAAACGCCGATTGGCACTAATGTTATTGTTTGTGCGCAGTACTTTATATTTCAAAGTCCGCATTGAAATATCTTAGTAAAACATTTTTAGATTTTTTTTGCAATTAAGTAGAATGGTTTATCAGTTGCAATTGCAAAATATGTATCAAATGTAGTCGGTATTGCAAATTAATCAAATTATTATCACCCACTTTTTAAAATTGATTCCTTTACTACAATTGTTACCATTTTGTGAATATATTATCATTTACATAATTAGTTTTATTTTATTAATGAAACTAGCATGTTAACAGTATGAAACGCTTTTAATATCAGAATGATAACTTATCATTGGTATCAATGAACTCACAGATAGCAACACCATTAATTATACAATAGGAGTGTAGTCGAATCATAATCATCATAAGATTTGTCACCTTTATTTGCCATGAACTATATTTGGATGCAACTATTTGTAATACTTATGAAAAACTTATATTGTATATAGTATTCAATTTATATACAATTTTGATGCAGACTACTTGTGGTTCATTTTACGTCATGATTATGTTGTGAATTTTCGTAGTTTATGAACTATATTTGGATGCAACTATTTGTAATACTTATGAAAAACTTATATTGTATATAGTATCCAATTTATATACAATTTTGATGCAGACTACTTGTGGTTCATTTTACGTCATGATTATGTTGTGAATTTTCGTAGTTTAAAGAGCAGTACTTATAAATATTTTTTATAGAGCAGGTTATATCCTGGATATAATTTAAATATTTTTATAAAATATCTTCAGTCTTGTATTAAATTATTTTTTATAAGTAAAGCTGCATTATCTACACAATTTCTACCAAATTTTGTTGCAATAAAAATGATGCACATAGTTTCATAACAATAGTTTTCACTGGTACAAAAGTTTTAAAATTACAAATATATACAAATAGTCTATCAATCACTGAACTTCATTTCATCCATCTGCATCATAAATAATTCTACCTAGCTTACACGCTCCGCCTTGCTAAATTTTAGGGCAATTCAGTTATGTACACGCCGTTGTCCGGACATCAGGCGCCTGAGAGTTGTCTCCATACCGTGTGTCACATGGTCGACATATAAGGCCAGGAGAAACTGCTCCCAGATAGAAGCATGTCTCTAATTAAAGGTCTCTATTGGTGTTTTACCGACCAGTCGGACGAAGAATAATTGTTCTATGACTTGGCTGGACACTGTCCGAAGGGAAGGTAGCCTCAAGAGCAGTTTTCCAAACCGGGTAGGCTGGTTCGGATACTGCGTCCTGCAGTATTCTTCTAGGGCGCATTGAGATTTCTCTTGAAGACTTTCGATGTGTGTCACATCGGATAAACCACAAGCATCTGGAAGGAAGATAAGAATGATTAAATAACAAATCGATTTTATGATTTATTTCTCTCTATACTTAAAATTTTCTCGTTTTCAAGAAACACGTGTTTTTCCTATATATATTTGCTATGTTTTAAAACTATAGAGGATATAGTAAGCTTCTTCAAGTTCTTAATATATATAACTGTATTAGGCCAATTAGGTTACTAAAACGGCTCTAAGAAAAAACGTACTAGAGAGGTATGTTATGTCCTTCGAACATCATTAAGCACTTTCTGGAAACGAGTTGTAAAACATTCTGAATTTGAACACGTGGTATACAAAATAACCGTACTGAAATCGACCATGAGAGTTATTCTATACAAAAATTCAACAAAATAAATCTTTATGAAGAAAGAAATTAATCGCATACTGTTAAATTCAATAAAAATGTTGGGCAACATGATATTACATGATGCTCAATTCGTAAAAAATGTAGTCTTTTGTATTAGGGCTTAAATTCAAAGGCTATTATCCTTTGAAATTTCATTTTAAATTAATGGACCGCTTCTGCCGTACAACAGACCAAGGCTATGTTATGTAGAACTTGCCGTACTAGATCGTTCTAAATATTGGCAAAAGCCATGTGGGTGCTTTGCAGTCAGTAGTTTTTCTCAGGTTGTCAGATAGACACCTAGCCTAGAAACCAAAAGATAGAAAACAGCAAATACATGAAATTTTGACAGTATTTAGTACAATTCAATAACATAATGTATGCATGTTGAAGCGTAACATGCAGTGGCGGATTAATTTTACTGCCGTCCTAGGCCCTATCTAATCAGGCGCCCTTTTTAATAGACAAAATTTTACTTTTTTATTTAAATAGTTTATTTTAAACTATTTAGATATAATTTTCAATTTCTCGTAGGGTCAGTTATAGTAATCGCAAAAGAATCCAAAATAATTTTCTGCATATCTCACGTTTTAAGTCCATCTAAGCATATTGGCATTCCTTTAAAAATATGATTTATATTTCGTCGACGTTTTATTAAAAACGGCTGAATCGATAAAATATGTGAACCTTAGAAAACGAATCTTATCTTCATACGTTAAGTTATATTATAAGTTAAAAAAAATGCCAATTGATTATCAAAAATAATCATTGGACATAAGCATACCAAATTGTTAGATATTTTAGTTTAGAATATACGAAATTTTAGGAGAAAAATATTTTTATATCCGAACAAATAAATGAATTTTAAATGATCACTAAATAACAATTAATATATTATGTTAATTTGCCATGGTTTTTCGCCTTGACAAAGTTACAAAAAATAAACTATAGTTAAATATTTGAAAATCTGAAAAAATGGCGGCCCCCCAAATTGTGGCGCCCAAGGCCCGGGCCTCACGGGCCTATGGGTTAATTCAGCACTGGCAATATGGCCTTGCCATAACATGAGCCTTTTCACCGGCAGAATCGGTACATAAAATAGTGTTACTTTCGAATGGACAAACGCAATTCTTTAAAATCTTTATAATAATAAAATCTATAATAATGAAAAAATATCACTATTACATCTCATTCTTTCATGTAATTTCTGATACAGTACCTATCTCCAATCCTTTTCTAACTTATCTAAATCTCCAACATGAATTTGATTTTATCACTTCTGTCTTTGGCATCGATCTAATCGTAACGATTTTTATTTGCATTCGCACATTTTGCACACGGGTCTGGGATGCTATTGCCTAACGCTGCTTATCCCTTTTGTGGAAGTTATCTTCCTGGCTTTGGATTTTCTTGTCTCTGGTCGCTTTGGTAGGATTAGAACGAAAACGGTACCCGATTGCGGAAGATATATTTATGAGAGCGGGATTTGAATAGATAGATCAGAGATCGCTAAACTTGGATAGAAGAAATAGAGAGAAAATACGAAATGAAATCCAAATATATAGAGGAGGACAAAGATGCAAATTTACTATTGTGGTTCAATATCTATACAATGAAGAAATATACCGAAAAATATGTTGTAATACTAGTTTTGTATGCATATAAGTCATAGGCTTTATATATACATGTAGTATAAGGTCTGTGATATAAGTGCTTTACAATGCAATATATTTTGCCAATCTTAATAGCTGCCATAAATGACCTCTAGATTTTTACCGATATAGTAGACAATTGTTTTTACAAACACAAGAAACTTTAATTTTTTTATTTTATTATTTTATTTATTGATTGCTGATATTTATGGTTGAACAACAGCTGATATACACAGCTTTGCAATAAAGAGATAACTAAATTGGACATTTCAAATGTCATCCAGAGTTTTATTTTAAAATACACAAAACATGTGCATTTCTAGTATTTAATTTATTAATATTTATTTGTAAAAATATTTAGGACCTTTTCCGATACAGTTGTTGCTTGTTTTTACACGAACTGCAGAATTTTATGCATAGATATTACTGATATGTTTTGTTCAAAAATAACTAGCGCACAAAAATATATAAGATTTTATAGACAACAGAAATAACTGAATTTGATTAAATTGAACTCCTTTTGTTGGTCGTGTGGAAACATGTGGAATGTATGTACCGAATCATTCTCTTAAAATTTTCAAATTAATTTCTCTGTTGTAAAAATTATGATTGCTGTTTTACGTTATAATTGCTACTTGCTTTTACAATTATTCCTCTTCTTTACCAATAAAATTTATGATTTGTTTATTTTGATAAAGTTGTTGTTGATACTTTACGTTCAACAATAGCTGAGATAAAAAGGAATAGTAGAATGATATAACTAAGTTTGATTTTATTATATGTTGATTACCTTTCGCAATAAATTAGCAATGTAGTACTGCTGTCGAGTGTTTCGTTGTAAAACAAATTGAACCCGTTAGATAGAAGGCGAGAATCGATTTCCTATTCGGTTTGTAGTTTGTACAATGTCCTCTTTACAGTTGTTTCTTTGCTTCAGAAAAAGCAAAACTTGTACAGAACTAACATTTGTATAAGTTGAGTTCCCAACATGAAACTTGGTTTATAAGCTGACCAGGATGATTTGTCTTCGTCACTTAACAACTTCAGTGTATGGTGATGGAAATATGTTTTAAAGTTTACATTTAAAATGTGTATATCATAAAAGTGTGACTACATATACCAACTCTCATTATTTATTTATTTAAAATATTTACTTGCAACTTATTTACAAACAAATACTCATTAATAATAAATTGTTATATTCCCAGAGTTAACAAACTTGTTACTGATATCATTAATGCAAATGATTACGTGTGAACGGATTATAGTTTAGAATAATGGATTTAGAATATTTATACTATGTATTTATTCAGGGCGTATTTTAAGTAAAAATCAGCGCCAAAAACGACCAAAAATTGGAATATGACATTTGTAAAGACATAAACCACACGATAATGATTGCACAAATAAATCTACTGAATTAGTATCAATTCTAGTCAATGCACAAATATCAATTTCTGCTATATAGACGACCAAACTGACATCTCGTTATTGCAATGAGATTTCAAAATTTATAGTTAATTTACGACAAGTCTAACGGTGTATTCTAAGTGGTTTATTCAAAAAACAATAAATCATGTTTTGCGTTATAAGCAGAGACTTTTGAATACATGACTTTAAATGTCGATAAATAAATAAGCCACTTCGCGCTCCCAGCAAAGCCAAGAATCGTAAAAGTCTGCGGATGAGATCTCCCATCAAGGAGTAAAAGATAATAAAAAAATAATATATTTGACTAAGATTTATTATATTAATATAAGCTTAAGCCATAGCTAATACGTGTGCGAAAAACTAAAAGTTACCAGAGTATTTAGCAGTGTGTGTTGGTTTAATCAGAGTTTGCAAAAATGTTACGTCTCTCATGTGATGTTTAATCAAACCAGCAATCCCTTCACTTAAATCTCATTCCTTTATCAGTAGGATGAAATCGACATGCGATCCAGGGATTTGCATGCGACAATCCCGATATCCGTATTCACATACCCCTTTGGACTACTCATAGAGGTGTACAACTTTCAGCCATATAATCGATATGATCGATATATGTACCAATGTTTCATTAGAACACAAATTTTTATTATATGAAAAGGATAAATTAAAATTAAAACTAGAATAGAAAAATGTACAGATGACATTAATTTGTAGATTTGTCAATTTTTTATGGTGAAAAATTGATGGAGCAAATTATTATAATATTTAGTATTATGTGTTCTTGGTATGGCCGTGAGAACAATATAGTCAATAAGTTGAGAATAATGCAAAAATCAAAAGTAATATTACAAACATAAAGCCATCGCTTCCAATACACAACTGGTTCATAATGCTATTATTAATCTGCACAATAGTTAGATTTTATATTTAGAATAAATTAATCAATAGTACCTACCCTAAACCATACTGAATCGTAATTTATTGTAAGTATATAGTGTACCAACTGCATGTGCAAACTAGAGACTGCACCAACATTTATATAAACCATATCTTTATTATCCAAAATTGTTTTGATATATCTAAGAGTTACAGTGTTCCACAACAATGCCCATATGGTAATACTTCTGGTCAATTTGTTACAATGACAATGTAGCAAGTGCCCCAAGACTCAAAAATCTCCATTATTACACCACAATATCGATATTCAAAATTCTCACTATTTTCATCCCCATTTCGACGAATCGAGAGGAGCAGGGACGTATTCCCAGGGCTCTCATTGTCGTCGAATAATGGACTGTGATCGGTTTATTGTTGCGCCTGATTGCTTCCTAAGCTTCATTCTGTGTGTTCAGTAAACATTGTCACGTAAGCTTGATTACGTGAGCAGAACGAAGGCTCATATGTGCAATGAGAATGTAATTTATAGATGTTTGCAGTTTGTCTAATAGGTTTGACGAACGAGATTTGAAGTAAGAGATCTCGAGAGCAAAAGAAATAGATTTGAAAAAATAATTTAATTTTCTATAATATTTTCAAGTTAATGAAAATTTGACTAAGA